CGGACACCGCGCCGCCCCGCGCGGCTGCCGCTCGCTCCCCTGCCGCGTGCTCTTGCCCCCGTTGAGTCTCTAGCACTGAGCGCGCAAAAGTGTCCATCATCATAATAATACACAATAATAATAATAATTAATGATGATAATAGCAGCGCCTTCTGTGCCAGTTAAAGACTCCGCTTTCCTTTCTCTGAGCACTAGCAGACAGATGATTTGCCCGAAGTTGATGCACGTGGTTTAAAGGGCAGTGGGCGCAGGAGCCGCAGCCCGAGCTCTGCTCTCGTGTCAGGCGCTGCCGAACGCACTCGGTCCCAGCACAGCAAAGGCCAGGGATGGTGGATCAGCCGTGTCTTATCAGCCGTGTCTCCCGACAGGTGCCACCACTTTGCCTCTTGGCTTCGCTTTCTGTCTGGTTACACCCAAAAAAATAAACCTGCCCCTCTCTTCTGAAGCAAATCGCCTTAAAACGATCCCCTGGGGTAACAAAGCACATGATGAAATAGGGTTTTTTTCCTTTCCAGGCACGGGAGCCCCGAAGAGCCCAAAGCAAGCCGGCTGTGTGTGCCTGTTGGGCTCCTCCCTGCTGGCCCGGGCTCTCCGGGCACACAGAGCGTTCCCCGGACACGCAGGCGGTGCCAGCATCCCCCTCTCAGAGCTGAGCGAGCCGGGATGCTCGGACGCTGCAGCACAGCTCCTCTCCAGGCAGACAAATCCGACGAGAACAGAACCTCGGACCCACCGGGATGCCCGTGTCCCCTGTTCCACTTCTGGCAATTCCTCCTTTTTTAACCTCTTCTGTCTGAAAATACACATTTCTTTGCAGCTGTCCTGGTTTTAGGACAAGCAGTGATGAGCCACAGGAACACAAGCTTTGAGATTTGCATTTTGGAGAAAACAGGTTTCAGAAAACTGAAAGTAGCCAACATAACCTGTGAAAATGGGACAGAACAACATCAAGTATAAATGCATTTGCTGTGCAATAATTTAGAACCACAATAACATCCCATTAAAAATATTAATTTTTAAAAATGAGATGCCCTGTATAGCAAGTACTAATGGAAGCAATCAAGTTTTAGAACAGATGATGTAAGAGAAAGCTATTTAAAATAGAATCTCCACCGCCTCTTTCTCCATTCAGAGCCCACAGAGGAAGGTGCAAAGCAGTTCTTACAAAGTGACTCAAAACTTCCCAGCCACTATCAGCGGCTTGCTTCAGACATATATAAAGTTTCCTTTTCTTTGAAAAAGTTTAAAGACACAGTAAGGTTTCAATAAATCCCTCCTCCTGTAATGTCACAGCTTGCAGTTTCCTTCCCAAACTCAATCTAATAACTCATGCTTTCTGGAGTCTACAGACACAGGTAGTTGGTGACAGCAAGTGGCAAACTCAAGTTCAGAAGCCCTGTTGTAATTGAATTTAACCCATGAATTACTAATCAATGGAACAGTTTAGTGGGACAAAATCAAGTGGAACAATTCAGAGCTTGGAGAGAGAATGAAGTATTTCTGCAGACAGATAGGAGAGGCAAGGAAAATAAGAACAGAGAAATAAGGAAACAACTATAACACAATGATTTTAAAAGCAAGTTTATTTCCAGTCTGAAAGCAATTAAGAAAGGGAAGTACTGAATAAATTTGTAGCTAACAAAATGCACAGCTGCTATGTAGGCGTTCACAGGCTCTACCTACGTGCTGCTCTGAACTTACACCCGTTGTTCTTTTGCTGTAGTCTGACAGGACCATGAGCTGTTGTGTTGAAGAGATGACTTTTGCCCAGACTGTGTGTGGAACTCTGCTCCCCTGTGACACCTGTAATTAGCATGAGGAGCCCTAGGAGCAGCCTGGCTAAAGAGCCCCACAGAGCCAATTCCCTCCCAGAGAGCACTTGAGCAATGGACATCACCACCAGAGGAAGAAGCTGAGTGAGGAGGAGCTCTGCATGCTTCCACTGTGCCACACTCTCAGAGCCAAACCATCCCCAATTCTCTGAAGCTGATTAAATTGCACCTTTGAACCGCTACAGATCTTGCAGACTCAAGCCCTATTCTTCCAGTAGATGTAACAGCACACGAACTGATGTCTAGGCAGTGCCTGACTGATACTCCTACAAATTTGAGCGGTTTAACGGTTTTCAGGATATATATTTGCAAAATTGGCTTCTTTCCCTTTCTGTAACACTTGTTTTTAAGGTGCACTGAAGATTTTGCTAAGGGAAATACTTATCTGGAGCAGTACACACTCACAGGCAAGCAGCTGCTTTTAACTAAGAGTTTTCAAGCTCAAGGAAACCATTGTTTCCAACTTTTGTGGGTAGCAGGGGAAGTCAAATAATGATGAATGGGGAAGAAATAGAACAATAGCCAATTTGTCTGGCTGTCAGAACTGCCATCTCGTCAGGATTCCTGCACTTGCACATTCATCTGGAATCCTCCAAAACCACTTCAATCAAATTGGGAGAGTTCTGCCAAAATCTGGCTGAAACCCATTCTATATCAGCCAGCATAATTCACCTTATTATAAGAGTTCACCTTATCATGAGAGGCGTAAATGGAGTGAAAAAGCAGAAGAGGAAGAAGGTCAAGTTGCTTTTATGAAAAACAGAAACACTACAGCCACCTGTGCCAAGGCTGTTGGTGGAGAGCTGAGAGCAGAGAGATCTTTGCTGTTTTCCCAGCTTTTATCTTGGTTTTCAGCAGGTACTCAGGGAGCAGTGTGCTTATCACCAGTGCCAGCGATGGCATTCCAGTCTTCACACAAAACTTGGCATATACAGGGACAACAGGTCCCAGTGGGAGTGTGCCAACTGGGAGATGTTGTGTCTGGGCCACTGACAGCCTAAAGGTGAGCAGTTTAAAGATTATTTTATCTGGTGTTGTGCTGCTAACAGCTGCTGTTAGCTGGCAACCTCTTTCTCTTCAATTACAAGGTCCAGAGTTAAATGAGTTTCCCATCAAAAATGGACTTTGTATAGCCAAAGACACACCAATAGCTGATGCTGCCAGTCCTTGTTATCTTTTTAGGCTACAGTCTGCAGGCAGAGAGGACATTTCTCAGGAATTTATTCACCCAGGAACTCTAAATAATAGCAGCAAGAGAACAAGGCATAGAAAGGGTAATGTGGCAGCACTACGATTTCCACAAAATAAAGAACAGCTTCTGGATCCAAAATCTAGGAATTTCAGGGAAGATCTGAAGGTACTCAAATTAAAACGTACAAAGTACATTTAAAAAGTACAGGTTGTGCCAAGCACATACAATTCAGTAATTCTCTATGACTGAGAACACACACTCAGGACAGTTTTTAGTGACTCCCTACAGGTACAATTAGAATGTCCAATTCCTCTGTTGAGGCCAAGTTAAAATAATCAAAATTGAAAGATTTTCTATCAGCAGTTAAAAACCTCACAATGTCTAATGCAGAGAAACCAAATAGTCACTACACTACTAATTTACCTCTGTCACTAACCTGTTTCCTTTTTCTCCTTCAGGGAACATGCAAAACCATAAAAGAGGTACTGTGCCTTTTTTTAATCTACTACTATTCTTTTAATCATCTCTTATGTGCATCATTTAAGGTAAGACATTTTACAAACATTTTTAGGTGTGCAGATAAAAATAATTCTAAAAAATCTCTTACTGTCTTGAATGTATCTGTTTAAAAACAAAAAGCAGCTAATCCCATCTATCCCACAAACCATTCCTGCACTTTCTGATTTTTCAGTCATTACAACTATATTCAAATCTGAATTAGCCCTACACCAGGGAAAAAGCCCCACTGGAGAGGTAACTTTGGACCATTGCTGTATCTCTAGGAGCTTTTTACATCCATGTGGGTAGTTTCTGTTATGCCAGCAGACCTGCCAGATGTTGGGAAGTCTCTTTCCCTTGTCTGGCCTCACTAAGACGCCTGTTCAGGAACCTCTCAGCAAATTCTACAGAAACAAGCAGTAACACAACGCAGAGTCTAAAAGTCTCTTGAAAAATAAGTAAAAAGCAGCAGCAAATCAACCTAAAGGCTGATGATGGATTTAAACAAAAGAAAGGGTAAAACACCAGGCATTTTGACAACCACATATGATACTTTTTCCCTATAAGAAAAGTTCCACACACTTGTGTCCTGAAGGTGTAAATGGTTTGTCATTCTTTTGAGCAAAATGCTGCAAATAATTAAACAGAACAGTAATAACCCAAAGAAAATCTCTTATTGTCTCAGAAGCTGAAATGGATTGGATTTAAGGGGGTCACATTTCCAGCAGAGATAAGTACACAGATTGTATAGGACCAAGTGCTCACATGTTGATATAGGCTTCTATGTTTATTAGGATAATTGATATAAGCTGGTATGTTTATTGGGATAATTAAAGTCTGCTTTGAATACAACCCTCAGTTAGAAAGTCTGCTCCTGACAGGGTAAGGTGTCAACCACTTAGTGCTAATGGTGATGGCCTAATGAGATTGTTAGATTTTCCTCTGGCCAAGTGAACTTCACCAGCAGAATGAGAAATAGAATCAAAGGAATGCCAAACTGATGGGACATTTTACAATACACATAACACAACAAGGAAAAATGCTTCCTTCTCTGCCTCAGTTTGAGTGCAGTTTACTACCTCCAACAAAAACACTGAAAACGGCTCTTGATTTTTATTTTGTTGTCATGGGTGTCTATACTTTAAAAGGCTTTTATCCATAGACCACAGGATACTTTTGGGAAAATGGTGTTCAAATATATACTTTGCAAATAAAAAAGTAGGACTACCTTATTATAAACAAGGGGCTAGAGTTTGATTTTATGCATCTGCAAAGACAAGGCAATTTCCATTTTTTCAAGACAAAAAGGATGCGTGCTGGGTAAAATACATTTTCTAAAGCTTTGAACAACTCTGTTAATAGCTGAACAGGACACAAGTTACATATCATTTCCAGTCTCTCAAAACCTTACTGCTTAAGAAAACCAGTTTGCATGCCACCCAAACATTAATGAAATTTCACCTGTGCTGTTTGAAAATTAGACAAAACGTGTTTTCATTCAATGACCAACTCAGAGTGAACAGGTTTGTTATGGGGCACTTCTGCATCTTGGTCACCTTGAGGTGTAGAGTCTGACAAAACTAAACAGCTGTAGAGCTCGAGTTGCCACATTCAGAAACATTTTCTACCATATCCTAACTCCACACCATCTTTCCTTGGCGGCTAAATTCCGATTAAATGGCTTCCTGTCCCTGGGGAAGGCTCCCTGAGGGCACTGGGAACAGCACAGCGCTGCAGAGAGATTTCTCTGCTGCAGCACAATCCTCACAGAAAGCAGAGCAGGCAGTGAGACAAATGCCAGCAGTACTGGAGGGGTGAGGAGGGTCAGGAACTAGAGCCGCTGTTTAGCAGGTCTGTGAGGCCCTTGTGCTGAGCAGACACCACGTGCCTGTCTGGCACCCAGGATCTGCAGTATCGGTCAGCTGAGCCGGCCTTAATCACAGCAGCACGGATGAGGCTGTTTACAGCAGGATTTACTCTTATGAAAACCATTAGCCCTTTAGGGTGAAATGTTATGCAGAGCGTGTCTGGCACAATAGGTCATCAGCCTGGAGCACCTCTTTTACTATCAGAAGAGGCACTAAACTACAGTAAAGCAAAACCCACCATAGGGAAAAACTGGAGAAATACTTAAAAGGGAAAAGTTGACTGTGAGGTCTGGAAAGACTTTGGGCTTACTCCTTTATGGAGAGAACTGGTATAGGCTGGGTATTGAAATACAAGAGAAAAATTGTGACTGACAATGTGGGGGTCAGTCTGTAAGAGGCAGTGATACACTGAGATGATTTACCTCACAGGGTTCATCTTCTAGAAGTTACTTCTGGAGTGCCAAAGCATTCCCTTTGAGACAATTTTCAAAAGAGGGGTAGAATCTGTGGGTAAAGTATAGAGATTTCTACTGCCAAGCACTGAGTCCTGTCATATTCTTTTCTTTCTCCCCTTGAAATCCTTTTTGCCACTTTTTCTATCTATCTAACCCGATCTTGTCCTGTCAAAACTCCACTACAGGATCTTCCAAGGCCAACGTGCAGCATAAACTACCAAAACAGCTCCTTCCAGTCCTGGCTGAATGGAAGTGGGAGGGAAAAATCACCAAGGTCTCTCCACGCAGGAGATGAGTCTGTTATGAAGGCAGGCCTAGCAGCTAAGGCACACAATCACCTCAGCTTTTCTTTAAGCAGTCTAAATCACTCTACCTTATTTGTTCAGTAAGTTTTCCTTTGTAGAGGTAGCTAGCAAAACATGGAAGCATGACCTTTGACTTGGGAGTTTTGCAAGAGTAACTGGTAAGGTAACAGTCACAGAAATAGTTTGTAAAATACAGTTTTCCTGACTGAGCTGGTTGTGAATGAACACTTTGCAGCAAACCAACTTGTATGAAAGACAAAGAATACTCACATTTGTACAGTGGTCAGGAAATGTCCTGGGAAATGAGAAGTAAGAACTGAAGTTGTTTCTTTGCTAAGTCAAAGCCACCGTTCCAGCCACCGTTTCTAGAAACTATTAGCAATGAAATTTAAGGGAAAAAAAATACTTTGAACATTCATGTCAAATGATACAACTTTAATATCTAAAAGGTGATAAGTACTAAGAAACTGATCTAGTTGACAGGCAATTAATCCTCCTTGCATAGTACATTTATCTCCATGGGATATCAAGATTTACAACATTTCAGGAAAACCGGCACCTAAGTGAGCAAGCAACCTCAATCCTATACAAAAGTTACCGACAACCTAAATGTTTCCAAGTCTTCCCTTGTAATCTAGGCAGAGAATAGCCTTTGCTTTGTTCCCATCTATCCCACAGTTCTGTATTCTCTCACTGCACTTTACAGCTGGCTTTCTGTGTAGAAAACATAAAAGGCTGCAACCCACACTGTAATTCACAATAAATTGGCTCATTCTATTTAAACTTGGCCTTTCTGAGGTCAAATACCTCCAGGTACTTAGTTATGGACTTTATTTTTTCATATAGGATGTGCACCTCACAGTACTTCAGATTCCTTAATAAAGATTTTGTCCAGAGGATGTTCAGTCCTTCCCTTGAGAAGGCAAAAGGTGAGGCTTCAGTTTCAGAAGTGCTCTTGACACTAATCTAAAATAAGCACTGAAATCTTACAGGAAGCCAAAAATTTTAACTTGCTTAACCAGCCTGCTAACAAGACAAGAGTAAAAACACTTCTTCATATAAAAAAAATGAAAGTTACATTTTGCTGTATGTGTTAGACATATCTACAATGGATTTTTTTCCTTTACAGAATGATAGTTGGAGAGGAGCATTGTACTTAAATCATCATCAATCCCTTTTTTCTAGTAACTTGTGTCCTGATTTTCAAAAGCACTGGTTATCAGCACATCCTAGGTACTGAATGGTAGCAGCAGGCACTCAGAACTGTTGAAAATAGACTATCAGTATTTGTACTTTTGCTGCAAATGCACCATTTGAAAACAGTTCTCTTGAAAATGGGTAACTTCACCTTTTAGTGAAAATCACTCTTGTAGTGTTTTAGAATGTCTGAAATAGCTATTACCAGTATTTACTTAATACACTATAGTGGATTACGATCAAAATTAATGTCAAAAAATTAAGTTTATGATAAATAAACTTTGGAAAAATTTATACAAGGCCGTAAATAAATAATTTGAACTTCAGTCTCAGTAAGAAGTAAAACAATACATCACACAACAATATCATCCTATCTAAACAATACAATCTTGCTATATTTTATTGCATAATAATTTGAGAATAACATCTTAAGTAAAATGTGTAAAGAAACAAAATCATTAGATTTACTTTCTTTAATATTGAACAACCAGTTCTTTGTACATAATCCAATTTAAAGATAATATAATTAGCACTTCCAGCATTAACAGTCTGTATTTACAATGAATGAGATGGGGTAGATAATCTAAAGAGTATTAAATCTGTATGAAACAAATCAAAATACGAAGATTTACAGTAGTAGGCTCAAAATCCAAGACTTTTCCATTAATGGAATGCAATTTAAAAAGGCTTTGTTGCCTTTATTACTTGTAATGTTCCTGAAATGGTTATTTAAACAGCTGAAATCTTCAGTAATGCCTTCATTATTTGTACATGACATTAAAAATTAATTCCAATACTTCTGTTTTTACTTGCTTGTAGACCAGTCTGAAATCTGATGAAAGGATTGCAAGGAAGTTTACTATATAATCCTAATTCCATATTCCTGAATGCAACGGTTGGAAGTAGATGATGTCAGTCTGTTCCAAGGGTTATGTACACAAAACTTAGAAAATGTTCTTCACTCTTGCATAAAATGTGTACACAGTATCACTGAGTGGGGGACTTCAAAGTTTTTATGGGCTGTTGCTGGCATGGACCTTTGTTGGTTGAAAATAAAATACCTTTCACTCTATTGTTCTGGTAGCAGTTTTGGAAGTTAATCATCAATCCCTGGTGTTTCCCCCTGTTGTATTCTGGAGGCTATTCTAATGGCTTCTTCCAGAGACTGTTGTTCTCCAAGCTGAAACAAATGCAATTAAACAGAAAGAAATCCAAAATGTTACACTTGGATAATAAATGCATCAAAAATTATCTGAAAGCAAAGACCTAGATACCAAACAATACTTCAGCCCAAATAAGTGTGATCAGTATTGTCACACCTCTCCTGGCTAATATACACCAGCAGCTATCTAATCAGCATGATAATTAAGATAGCTGCTGATAGGAGATTACACTGAGTTTCTGTGTAACTACAAAATACATGTGCTTCAAAGAACTGCTGCATGGTAAACACACTTCATGACCCACAAAGTAGGTGATATTTTACTTGGCAGATATTACAAAGCTCAGACTTACAAGGCTTGCAGAAGTCACAGTGGCTGTTGCATTACATTTTATCACTGGTAAAGCAAACAAACATCTTCATTTTTCTTAACTCTCTAACAGTCAGCTCTTTGGAACAGCACATGACAATAATTTATAGAAAAAGTGGACATTTATTGCAGAATCCCAACTGTATAAAAAAGCTATTGTGATGACACTGTTTGATTCTACAGTTAGTTTAGAGAGGAAATTATCTAGTACTACCAGAAGCAAGATAACCAACCCTGAATAAAGACAACTGGACACAATTTTGGGAAGGAATCCATGGAGTTTTTATAATATGACCAGGGGAACACTGAAGACAACCTCAACCTCACAAAAAACCCATAAAGCTGGCCATTACCTACTGGCTCAGGAGAAACACATATGAGAATGTGGAAGGTAAAACCAAATTGTTTGACCTAATGGGACAATTCTAAGTATCACTTATTTTTACAGCCTCTGCATATCACATTCGGGATCCACTCAAATCAAGACCTCTCTTTGCACCTCGTTAGGGCTTCAATAAGGACTATCAGGCTACTGGCTTTACCAGTACTTAGAAACCAAATAGATTAATTTATTAGTATCAAAGTACAAAAGAAAAGCCAATCAAACCCTCAGGAACAATCAATAGTATTTCAATTTAGAATTCTCTCTCTTCTATTTGTGTATTTTAAGTTTAACTAACGTAGAGACTTAAGTTAAAGCTCAATTACTGGTAACAGAAGAGGGGCTTGTGCAGAGTGCCTGTTTTCCTTTCATTCAAAGGTCTCACTGCTCAGGGTGCAAGTTACTTTTTGCTTGCTCTCATGCAAACAATTGCCTTCTGACACGGTTTCTCTTACAGGCAGTTTTGATTAGTGCCAACTTAGCTCAAAAGAGAGGAGTTCAGAATTCAGAGCTTCTCAACTTTCAACAGCATCTGACTTGCTACTTTCCATTTAACAAAGGGCAAAATAACAATCTCTCATTTCTGCTGGAGGATATTAATACTATTCTTTTCAATCTGAGCTCTTAAGAGCTCTTTCATACCTAGAAATTACCTTTTCCTGACAGTGTTTGAACAATGTGAGGAACTATTTACAGAGACTGCTTCTACTGAGCAGGTTTGGCACACAACAGAAGGTCACTGTTTCCAGAGATTTCTGACTATTAATCTTTCTATATAACCATTTGCACTATTTTACTATTAGCATTTCAAGGTTCAAGTAATAAATCTGCTAATTTTGTAAGTTCATAGCAATGCATTATATGTAAAGCTGAAGGATGAACAAAAGCACTTTTTCACTGAAAACCTCTGACTCCATGAACAACTCAGCTGACCTGACGTTTGGCCTTTCTCCAGCCTTCCCCTTTTATTGGGAATTCTACAAGTATATCTAGAAAATAAGATGCTGTTTATTCCTCTTCCTAACCCTATATATTATTTTAAATACGAGATCATATGGTTGGTTGTAAGCTATCTTTTTTTCAGGGAAACCAAGCTTATTCAAATCACTGTTACCTGACTAGGTAGCTTCTAGCTCTAGAAGAAACACTCCATCTTACCTGCACTGCAATTTGTGTCCCATTGGATGTAGCCAACAATGTAACAGGTCTGGTTTCTGTAGTCACTAGATGGTGTCCGTGCTGCTGGTGTCCCATTTCTGAGGAGGCACTGTGAAACGCTGCTAGGTCTTGGGCCACGATTGCAACCTTCAGGACAAAGGGACAGAATCACCTGCCTGGCAGATCTGCTCCTGCTCCTCACCTTGTACCACCACTGCCTTCACAGTTACATTCACAGCTGGGATTGCTCATGAGTGTAATTGTATTATGCAAAAAAAAAGTTGCCATAATTGTGTTCTCTAAATTATCTACTAGGTCTTAAAATATAAATGTCCTCAGGGCTGTAGCAATTCAATAAAGGCACCTACAGACCTGTGATTATCTACACAGAGATTAATAACTATCTTCATTTTCATGTGGTGCAATTTTAGATAAGTAGAATATATTTTAACTTATAGATATCATCATATTTGTACTAAAAAGCTGTTTTATCTGTACATGAAAAACCAACCCACAGATATATACTTACACAAATGTTTCCCATCTGACAAATAAATTACAGTCCCATAATATTAACCAATGAAATTACAGTTCATACTGGATTCTATTCTTAGTTCTGCCACTCATTTACTATGTGACTTTGGGGAAAATGCTTGGCATTTCCAGGTGTTATTTTACAGACACCTAAATGAATCATTGGACTGGTACATCAGATTTTTTTCTTGGGGCCTGGTTGTTTGTAAAGCATTCCACCACCATCTGCTGATGTACAGCACTGGAGCAGAACATATCAGGCACTTGTGAGGGGATTGTGTTGGCAGCTGGAAACTGCTCTGCTGAGATAAATCTGCAATGACAGAAGTGTGATGGCTCAGGGGCCATTTGATAGCAGCTCCCCAAGGGACACGAGCCCGGTGTGCAGGGCAGTGTCTCACCTGCTGCCCCTCGGTGCCCTCTGCAGTGACCATGGCCACCGAATGCGTTCCCGCGGAGGAGATGACGGCGTCGTGGGCAGGGACTGTGATGGTGGTGCCATCTTGTGTCACCATCGTGATGGTGTTGCCGATGGCCTGCATGTCTGCCTGGGATATGTTCACCTGCAACACACAGGAGCTCCTGAGGCAGGGAAGGGCTTGATTGCTCAAGTCAGAGCCCTCCTTCCATCTGCCTCACTGGCTGGGATCTAACAGTTCATGACCTTTCAGATACACTTACCTGTTTACAGAAAAGAATATGGCTCTCCCTAGCAGAAAGAGGCTGCATACTTAATCCCAGAGCCTACAACTCCATGTGGATCTGAGAGTATCCCAAATAACAGCAGATTATAGATTATGATACTCTAACAATAGATTATCTATGCATGTGTCTTACACAGAGGTCAGTGGGATTCAAGGTTGCTCCACCTGACATACTTTGATCTTGATGGAAATACTAAAGAGGCCTACGAGGGCTTAGAACTTAAACCACAAATAAACAATCTGTAACAGATTAATGATATAAATTACTGATGTCTCCAGTATAAATGCATTAGGGCATCAGATATGTAATTTGATGTCTGATTTACAAGGTAATAAATCCCAGAACTGAAGTCAAGCTGAAAGATAATTTAAATGTAAGAATTCTATGTCAAAGCTTCTGCAGGCCTTCATTTTAGAGGGTAAAAATGCCAGTTACTTAGTATTGCTGCAATGTCCAGAGCTGGCAATATAACAGGCCCCTGGTATATTTTATTTCAGTCTGAACTCAGAATATATCTTTTATATGTTACTGGTATTTCAGCTGCCCTGCCAGCTGATACACAAACTTCTTCCCAAAAGCCTTCAATATACTGCCACAATGAATCAAGAGTTGTGTTGAAATCCCCTTCCAAGGAAATTTCATAGGAAATCCTTAAAAGTGTGTATACATGAAAAACCTTAATAAAAAGACAGCCATAGGAATGTTTAAATGGAAAATAGTATCAAAGGATTCCTTATCCTTTAGTTTATGTTAGAAATTGCACACTACCAACCAAACTGCTGGTAAAGGAAGCACCTGGACTGAAGAGACTTCCCACCCCTCCACCCCTCAAAGTGTGTGCAAACAAGACAGTGAAGATGCCATCAGGTATTAACAGCATAATCAGGGAATTGTGAGAAACCTCAGAAACAGGCTGTATATACAACAGTTGTTAAAACAGCCCTTTTCAGAGTGACAAAGACAACAAGGAGAGACCAATCCCCTAATTTTGCATTAATACAGTTTAATGTGTCAGAATATGTGGTTTCACATATTTAGGTATCCCACAGGAGGCACAACCCTAAACATATCTTGACACAGCTTTAAAGAAGTTTCTTTCCTTAAGAAACACACAAATGTTTATCAAGAATCCTGTGTGATTTCAGAGGCACAAACGTGTGCCTCAATCCTCAGCATGGTTTTGTCAGCATTTGAACACTGCAGTTACTTACATGTTGGGTTCCATCCTGGGATATTAGTGCTACTTGTTGGCCTAATCCTGACTGTGTAACTGTAGCAACCTGTGCAGAAATGACATCTTCTCCCTCTACACCTGTCACGTAGGTGATCTGGGGGCCTTTGAGCACATCTTCACCTTGTCCTATTGGATACAAAAAAGGAAAGAGGATACTTTACACACTCGAAATTCTCTCAGGAGAGCAAATGACAAGGATTAAGTCCCAGGCTTGTCTGAAGGTTTTAAACACTCCAACAGAAAAATTTAGTGGAAAGATGAGAAAAATAAAAGAAAGATACCAGAAGCAAGTCAGAAAGTCCTATTTTGGGAACACAGGGTATAATCTTCTAGCAATGAGTTTAAAAGACAGATAAATACTACATATACATTTAGTACGTAAGCAAATATTAAAATGTGAAAAACATTTCTTATTTATTCATTAAATATTAACTACTCCATGCAAACACAATTGGAATTGTTTTTTTACAAGTTATTAATTAACAAACATACAGAAGACCATAGTGGTGCCTTTGTGTGAAGATTTAAGTTCATTATATTGATAAATGTTTAACCTCAGCAAATGAATGTTATCATTCCTTTAAAAGAAGGAATTAAGCTACAGCAAGTCTGCTTGAGGTATTCAGTTCAGTTTCCCATGAACATGCAGCAAAACAACTTTTCTAACCAAAACAGTTTGTGCAGATGTTTCCAATCTCCAGGCACATCTAAAAATCACAATCTGACAGGTGGTGTTCATCCTATCACAATATTTCCTTCAGTCTGATTCTTTAGGATTCATAGGATTCAATATTCATGATACCATGAACAGCATACTCTGAGGATTAGTGCAACACAACAGCTCATTTTCATCTCTGACTCTAGGACAGTTTACAGAAACTGCTCTAAACCACAGCAAAAACAGCCCATATCACTGTGCTGCAAAAACAGATTTTTCTCTTCCTTCACTCCCACACAAAAGCTTGCCACCAGCCATGGTGTTATGTATATGCACTCCTTGAAAAATCCCTAACAAAAGTCCAGTATGGTGTTAGCTTAGAGCCTCTCTGGTCCCTTGCCCACATGCATGTTTTTAGCAGGTTTGCTGAGACTGCAACTCAAATTTCTCTCTTAACCCCATGACTGCTATAAATGAGCTTATTATCTGGCCAATTAACATGCAATTTCTGTCTAGAAGTTGCCTACCACCCTAAAAAATCTTACAGAGAAATTAAGATATCTTTATTAAGTACTTCAACTTTTTATCTATGTTTTCATTTCCATGGCTATCAAAATCCCCCAGCAAAATACCATCCAGCCCTTTTTTCTTTTTCCTTTTAACTAGAGATTCAAAGGTTGCAATTCTAACCTGGAGGTGGCTCAAAGAAAGCCTCTTGTTCTTCCTCAATGGGCTCTGTGTCGTTGTGCGCTGTCCGTTTGTGCATAGCAAGGGTGGAGATCTGCTTGTAGGTCTTCCCGCAGTGATTGCAGTTGTATGGTTTGGAATGAGTATGTACAACATGATGTTTGTATAAACTGGAATACTCTGTGAAACGTTTGTCACAGCCAGGAACTGTACAGACATAGGGCTTCTCCCCTGCATGGGAAAGCAAAAGGTATAAAGAGAACTTTGTTCAGGATGCATAGGAAAAATTGCCAGCAAATGATAATTAGGAACAAACCTTCATTACCAACCATACTTTAATTTCAAAGGCAACAGAGGTCAACCTCACAAATTTTATCAATGCAACGTCTTACTGTCTTTCTGTAAGAATTACTGCCAGCACAAGTTGGGTCAATTTTTCTCCCTATCATTCTATCTAAACCATCCTTCTGGTGAAGGCAGAATGATACCAGCTGAAAACTGCAACTTCAGTTTGTCATTGTACTGAGAATTTTGTTCTTTTTCTACTGGAAGCCACATTGTTTTCCTTGGTGATCAGATATACTGATTGACTAGTATCACATTCTAGTACTGACACCTCTGAGGAAATCCATAGGAAGCATGTGTATAAACAATTATGGTTTAATACAGAAACACCTTCCATTTAAAAATCAATGAAACAAGTGTCCAAATTACATTGTAAACTAAAAATATAAACTGAGCTACAAAACATCCCTCTATTAAGCTTGTCTGTGTTTCTATAAAATATAAATAAAAAATAAAATACTACCAAGATAATATGGCTATGACTGGCTTTTACATTTAGAATCTTCAAATTTGTGCTTATTATTTCTGCTCACTAACTCTGAAAATCAAGTTAGATAAGTATTTTCACATCCAGTCTATAAAAAAGGAAGTTTTGACCACAGTTCCAGCAGCAAGGAAAATACAGCTGGGATGAAAGGGTGACTCATAACAGTGAGCCAAAGTTAAGCTCGGACTTGTCCTTTACTGGTATTTATTTAAGAAACAGCTCACAAGGGAGGCAAGCCCCAGAATCATATTAAGGATTCAGTCCAATGTCCAGTTTAAAAATCTTTGTATCCAAACCAAAATTATTATGCCTTGACAGCAAGGTGGGTAATCTAACTGCTTAAATACCCCCAGCTGAGGGGAGAGAAGGCCTAAACAGAATTACCAAGTCATATAAACATGACTATACCCAATTACAACGCACCAAAACATTGTTCACAAGGAAAATGACACAGCCTCTCCCAAGCAGATTCCACTTCAAAATACAAGAAATCACTCATATACCTGTGTGTATTCTCACATGATTCTTATAATTAGTTGCACTGGCGAAAGCTCTCCCACATCCTGGCTCTGTACAGTAATAAGGCCTTTCGCCTGTATGTGTCCTGATGTGAACTTTTCTAATATTAGATGTTGTGAATGACCTGCCACATCCTTCAAAGGGACACTTAAAAGGCCTTTCACCTGAAAAAGAAGACAAGAAAAGGTACACTTGCAAAGGTTACAAAAGAATGAAAAGTTCTAAATTACACTGAGACTTGAATGTAGGAACCTAAAGCTACTTAATTTTATATTTGAGATCCTGAGTCAGAAATAGGATGAATACACCCCTGTGGAGTGTTCTAGTTTAGCCAAAACCAACAAAATTCAGGAAAATCATACAGTCTGTAAGCTAAATTATGAAGCATTTGGATTAATACTTTAACATGTATAGAATAGACTCAGTTGCTTGGATTAGCTTCCACACTGTCCATAACCTAACAACTATTTAACAACTTCCCCAGTTCATACATACATTATCCAAACCAAGTGTATCATACCATTGACATTTTACAATTGTTAATTCTTCAAATGAAAAAAATACCTTTGTGATTTAACATATAACCAGGATAAACATGGATTAGTAAAACTTGTGATAGAAAGCACTTAACCTTAAAAAAGAACAATCTTTCTATAGAGAAGTAGCCATGAAACTCAAGTTTCAAATGCCCAGACCAAAGCATATCACAAACACAGGTTCTTCTAGAGTAAATCTCTTGGTGTAATATATAAGTTTAAGCACGATAACTTACATCACTGCACCAAAGCATTTCACTGTGAATAGCAGGTGAGGCCAACCAATAATACTCCAGCAACCCTGACCTTTCAGATCTAGCAAAGCACACGGAGGAGGAGAGCCAAGGGGGTTAAATTTAGAGGAGTTCGAGCCACTAACAGGCTGTCCTGGTGTAATTCCCACTTCTACTAGCCAAGTACATTCCACGCACTGTGCCGCTCACCAAAGAGCAGAATCTGAGAGCAAGAGAGACCACAACACCGCTACAGATACAACAATATGTACTTAAAAAATAAAACAACAAGTCCTGATAGACAGTAATACCACGAAAGTCCAAAGCAGTTCGCTCCTTGGCAGAGGAAACTACTATTCACTCCTTCGGGCAGCTGTTTTGGGAAGGTTTTCCAGCTTCCTGCCAAGGCAGTGTGTATTTATTCCCCGAGTGTTGTGTTACCATAGCTCTCCTAATCCTTGCTTCAGCCAGGACCCCAAACACGTCTGAAAGCAGCAGGGCTGCAGAGCCAACCCCACCCAGCAACAGACCCCACACTAGAAACCACAACAGATCCCTCTTCAACAATGCCCGCAGGAATGTCACCAGACCGGTCCCTGAAGGGGCCTTTTCAAATGCTAATCAACTTCCTAGCAAAGCGACCTGTTTCCAGGTGACGGAGAATTCCAGCTCTAGAAATGCAAAGCCTGGAAGCTCTGCCCCACTGCGGTACCGTCCACAGCAGCTTGTCTGATCCCAGAGCTGCGTGCCTGGGGAAGTCATGGAGAAAGCCGAGGCAGGCATTTGATGGCACTGAAAGAGAGACTTTACTCAAAGAGGGAGAAAAGTCACTTCTGGTTAAAAGAGGCAGAAAATGAAGAAAGCGCTGACCCTGATGTACCTGCTAAAGGAAGGGAAAGGTTTCTGAGCCATGGGGGAGAGCGGGAGAGCCCAGACCTGCCTCCCCTGGTGCCCTGCTGCAGCTTGCACAAGGCATGAGCACACACTGCTCCATCCACCTGCACAAAGCATGAGCACACACTGCTCCATCCACCTGCACAAAGCAGCCCCTGCCATTTTCTTCTCATCCTTTAGCTTCCTGAAAACACTCACAAATCTCAAATAAGACACCTCTGACCCCTGGACTGCTAGGAGATGATGATTCTATTACTAATATTGTTCAGGTGGGTAGGTCACGTAGGGCTGGCTCAAATCTTTTGCCTCAACTGCTAAACAGAGATTAAATTACCACACACCTTGTGTGGCCATGAAGAAGGAAAGGAAACAGTCCATGGCTAATGAAATTAGCCCTACACTACTAATGAAATTGTCCTACACTACTATAAACCTTTCAGTTCATAGTCTTTACTTGATGCAGTGCGTATCAACAGTCCTCTTCTGGAGCTGATACACGTTCATGCTGATGTTTAAAAACCAAGACAGCACTAATCCCAACAGATTCTCTTTGTGTACAGAAGTAAAAAAAAGCAGAAATCTCTTAATGCCGTCCTGAGGTTTTAACAATTTTTATTGCCTGCATTTACATCCCAGCCCTCCATGCTGTTATTTTTAATTTGAAAAAAATCCAACCCCTACTTTCATTTTTTCTTCTTGACTCACTAAGATTCAGACAGTTCAGTGGAAAAGCTTGTCAGTGCTCTAGCAGAGACATAAATATATTGAATGGAACAGGTCAGTAAGTGATAGATTGTTCTTCCTACATTTAAGGTTTTTTGTGTTTTGTTTTTTCTTTTGGAAGATCACAGACACAAAGAAGACATTGTGCAAACTTGTTTACGTGTGTGTGCACCCACAGAGTTTTGCAGAGTGTAGTGTGTGCTGTCTAGAATTTGTGGTTTGGCTTTCAATTTAATGTTTTTAGACTAAATGAAAGATTTTATTTTTTGTGCCTTTGCAAGTTTTAGTAGCTGTCGGTTTTCTATGATATTTTTGTTTTTCTGCTGGAAGAAGAGATGGGAAATGAGGATTACAAGCCCAGAATATCAACCTTCGTGAAGCTGGCATGTGAGTTGTATTAAAGCACCAAAACGGAGGAACACTGAAGCCATTTCTAAAAGGCAATACTGAGGAAAAGTTCCTTGTTCTGTTACAGCTGCAGATGAATCTGTGAAGGCAACGAGTGACTCAGAGACAATGTAAGTGAGGCACTGATAAAAGTTAGTGCATTTGCAATAGCAGTGTGAATGCTTAAGCACTTTTTCCCAGAAAAACATGCTGGATTTGCAGTAAATGCTTACCATGCTGAAATGCTGCTGAGCTCACTGGGCTTCAGAAAGAGAATATACACAGGCTGATTTTGCCAGTATAAAGTCATAGAATGAGAGAGAAAAAACTAAAAATCCACTTAGGTGAATTAACAAGAAAGTAATGTGTACTGACAGTACCTGTGTGGGTCCGAATGTGCTTCTGCAGGTCTCCAGAAGTCTTGAAGGATTTGGTGCAGTTCTCTTCTGTGCACCGATAGGGCTTCTCACCAGTGTGTGTTCGCACGTGGCTTTTTAACCCATAGCCTGGGGATCAGAAAAGATGTAATCACAGCACAACACTGTATGAGGATGCTCATAAACCATCACCAGCAAAAGCTGTGCTTGCCATTCCAATCAGGAATGTTGATGAGTAAAATTTACTCTTTCACTCTTCACAAGCTCTTCATTCTATCCTACAGAGCAGCACTACTCCGGATAACAGCTTTGAAATTCTTTGATTCTTTATTTTTGAAGAAAAAAAACATCTCCATAATCCTTGTCCTTCCCTTCAGAAGGATAAACTGCAATTATTATAAAGTGGACATATATTTATTCTGTCTTTTGAGGAGGCCATATGCTGTGTGTTCCATCTAGTTTTATTAGTTTTTTCCTCTTCCCACTACTGTCATCAAAATGATATTTGATTATTTGCTCATATGAAAAGCAATAACCACTAACCAAGTCAGTGGTAAAACCACATATACAGGTGCTAACCAAGAGCAGTCATAGACACTCATTCTCTTTAAGATTACTTTTAGGAACTCATCATCATCATCAAAAACTCTACCAAGTCTGAAGTGAAGCTTGGATCAGGCCCTCTATAAATTATTTTGCAACGACCATTTAAGCAAGATTTTCCTTTCAGTACTTCCCTGAAAAGATAATGACTAAAGAAGCCTGAAATGGCCATTTTAGAAAATGAACCTGAATTTCACTTGTACCTACAAGTGATGTATACATTTCTACAAAATAAAGCCTGTCAGAAAATGGCATCTGCTCTAATTTCAAAGGGTTCTCCCTAAAACAGCTGAAATTCCCGCTCCTGATGGTTTTCAAAGCATGAAGCATGTGAAGCAAGATGAGCACTATTTAAGCCAAAGAGTACTCAGTACTTAAAGTAAACTTTGTCCAAGGCAAAGATTGTTGAACTACAATAGTACAATGGTTCTGATCAAAAATACAGTATTTATAAACAAACAGCTGTTTATAGCCATACATCAGTGTGGTGCAAAGGAAGAGACTATTTCATTACTTAGTTTTGAAATCCTTTTGCAAACACTATGCAATTAAACTTAGATGCAGCCCTTTAAAAGTGTGGTTGTTTCCCTTTTGACTTTTTGCATCAGTATTTATTTTGCTTGTTTCTATTCAAAGCAATTGTAGCAAATGTATTAGATCAGATGAAGTTATTTCAAAAACACCTTAAAAAAACAGCCTAATGTTTCTAAGCATGATACTGATTCACATTCCAAGTAAAAAAATAAAATTTGAAACAAATTTTGCTCTTCCACTTTCTTCCATGTTTTATTCCTCGTAATTGCACTTTGCACAATCAAATTCAATCCCAGGGAGAGCATAATTTATGAACAGAGTAATCTGTACAAATGAAGAGTTCACTTCATGACAGGTGAACTCATCACTCTAATACAAATTAAATAAGGAACACTTAAACCAGCATCTTCTATCAAAATTCCTTTCAAATTTAGACCAGAAGATCAGGAATGTGCCCTAGCCTACAGGTTCAGTTTTCTATTACCACCTCATTTAACTTTTGCTATTAGTTTAATGATAAGAAAGGCCTATTTTTTAACATTTAGTTTGACTGTAGATGTCAGGTGAAGAGTGAAGGAAGTTTTGAGTGCTTCACCTCCTTCCCCCTTCAGTAAGAGTTAAATCCTCTGTCCTTTCTATTGCTACACTAGCTAAAAAGATTGACTTCTTTTTCCAGTTGTCCCAACCAACTTAGCAGTTAAAAAAGGAAATATTAAAAACTCATTTTATTCACAGACACACTAACAAGCAGGAGGAGCTGAAGATTACCTGTTGCAAAGGCTTTGCCACATCCAGGATGTTCACACTGGTATGGTCTGTCTCCTGTGTGAGACCTTTCATGCACCTGTTGACATCCAATATACTGACTTAATGAAATGTTGTATCTGGTTACTTCAGCACAGAAACAGTTCATTCTCAAAGCCAACATATCTTATTTATCTTATTAAGACTCACATTGAAGTGTCTGTTTATATCAATGATGAAAAAAATAATGAAACATGGTAACAATGTTTCTCCCTAAAACTAAAGATGTCTCTTTCCAAGGTCTAACCTGCTCCAGCCAGTCAGTTAGGTACAAAACACCTCTGTAAATACATGCAGAGTTGCCATCATGCATTACATTAAAGACAGGAGGTAAATATGCCTCAGACCCCACTCTCTGATTTTTGATTCCACTGAATGCTTCCAATGATGCTCTTATATTGCATGAAACCTCTACAGAAAGGACTTGATTTTAGCAAGTGACTCATAAAGCAAACCACTCACTGACTCCTGGAGTCAGAGACAAAGCAGCACTGTGAGGAGTTAACCTCATCAGCAAGGGATTGTGCCAGCCTCAGCTGGAATGTCAGCAGCCCTATACCATTTACCATTTCAGTAATTCCTTTACCTAACTTAAAAAAAGGAAGAGAATTAAGAAGTTGCCACCTGTGAAGAAAAGATGCTCCAGCTTTTCACTTTGAATATTAGTTTTCAAGAGTCTCACTTTTTACTATGATGGTGAAATATTTCAAGAACTGGCATTTTTGCATGTTCATGCATAAATGTAAAGTTGATAAAGCAATTGCTGGATTCCAGAATTTCTGTGACACTGCTGGTGGAAACAACCTCAACCTGCTGGCAATATAGCAACTGAACACGATCCCAGAACACTAAGTAAACTCAGCTGAGCACCACCAATTAATATAAAATCAATCCAATAAAGATTTGAAAAAACAGCCCCATTGCAACTGGTTCTCTCTCAATTTCTATTACTTTTAACCACATAATCTTTTCCAAAGAATCATATCTACAAAGTAGCAATGCATATTTTACATCCTATCACCTTAAGATGGTGAGCTGTCGTGTAGAGTTTTCCACAGCCATCATAATCACAGCGAAAAGCTTTCTCTCCTGTCTGTTGAGATTTTGCAGTCACTCTTGTTCCATGTCCTTGCAAGACAATCTTAAGTGAAAGAGAAAAAACATTTTAAAAACCCCAAACACATACTAAAAAAAACAACAACCAAAATGGATCAGAGAAGTTACACACTTCATTTTATTATCAAGCCAGACGTGATTCTGACAGGTTTCTTTTGTTTCTCTTTGATTCGCTATGCCATGTATTTCTGAGTTCTCAATAAATAAACAAAAAAGAAATAAGTGAAAATCATGATGGAAACTGTAAAACATATTTACTTGTATCTAGTAAATTTAAAAGCTTGCATTAATTAGTCAAATAACAAAGACAAATAATTTAAAATATAAGCACAGTGGTAAAATGAGCAAATTAGTAGACAGACAAGTCTTAGATTATATCTGAGGTGCTAGATCTACTCCTAAGGGAAATTAGTTATAAATCAGACCACCTTCAAATATAAGTTTATGGAAAGGCCAAACAATAATTAAATGTCCTTAGAATGAGCACTTCTTGAAAATTAAAGAAAGCATTTTGTACTTGGTCTGCCATACATGTATTTTGATCAAGCTAATTGAAGAGCATTGTGAGCTAGGTTCTAATCTCCCTTCTGGCATGACAACATGAAAATAAACAGCACAGCTTCAGGAGTGCTGCAAGTGAGAGTGAAACCACTTGTAGAGCTCCTTCATACATGCAAGAAACATTCATACAGATGGAACACAGAGGCAGAAGCCAAATCAGCACTTCGATACAACTCCATGCAAAGCAATCAAGACTATTTTATATGGTCCGTCCTTTTAAATCACCTCCCTTTTGTTACAGATCCAATTCTATTCCCAGCTGTCAAAAGAACATTTCACAGGATGGATGAGGAGACAATATTCTCAGCCTAAAATGTTGTCAGCTGCAGCAGGTTGCTCACCGCCATATCCAAGTAGCTTCTGAATATCTCCAAGGAAGGAGACTCCTGAAGTCTGCTCCCAATGTTCACATTATTCCCAACTAATTCTTGGCAACTGAGGCTCTGCAAAGTGTCTCTGTCAGCTGCTCAATAACCTGCTCTAGGATTGCCTGTTGCCATCCCTGAACTCCAGAATGCTCATCATGTGCCCTGTTGTGATGCCCTTCTGGCACATACTGAGGATGCTAAAATTCCTCCTGAGGATGCAGGCCTGTGAGCACGAGGCTTGTTCCACTTGTCTGAAGAAGGCTTTTTCTCCTTCCTGATCATAACCTTGTGGCACAGTCACATCCTCAGCACCCACACTGCTCTGAGCCATCTCCCATCCCAAAGCCCTGTGCAGTCCTGCTGCTCCTCCAGGAAGGGCAGCTCCTGCTGCTCTCCTTCCCTATTGGGCCCTTTTAAAGAGCTTGGATCCATCACCAGAGACTTCAGCCACCTGAGCCCACCACCGCTCCCCCACAGCAGGGACACTGCAGCCCTGCTACAGCACACACACCTTTATTTCCTCTTTCAGAGAAAGCACAAATTTGACTGCTAACACCTTTCCTACAGATTCTTCAGAGAGGATGGCATGACCCATTACCTTCTGAAGCTACCTGTTTCAGACTGTTTGTAAGACTGAAGGAGCAAAGTTCAATACAAAATTTTTAATCAGCTGAAATGTTCAGCTCCATCACTTGAGAAAATCTCTGGAACCACAGAGAAAAAAAAACAGCCTCCTGGATCAAGAAACCCATTACTGAAACTACTGTTTAATCCATGACAGCATGAATCACAGAAATCAAATACATAAAAGATCATGAAGAATACACTTGGTTGAGCACCTGCACTGAAAGACTATTTTTTTTTTTCAATAAACCTACTACTATTTATTTATTGTTCCAGCATATAAAAATGTATGTATAAACTCGCTAAGTTCTGCCATAAAGCTCATGAGTGACAAAGTTTAAAAGAAAATGAAAACAATTCTGTAATATGCTGATATGTGCAAGGAAATAACCAGCCATAACCTTTCCAATATTAAGATGGATGCAAAAACTGGGGAGGAAGCACCTTTCTAATGATGTGGAACTTACTGAGAGGAACTGTGTATTTCAAATACTTTTAAATAGAATGAATAAATAAATAGAATTAAACCCCCCTATTTTTAAGAGATCACAAATGCATCCTGAGCTCAGAGGAGAAAAACAAAGATCTCAGATCAGATTTTTCTATTGCACACATAAAAGCAGAATCATATAACCAAAGTGTATATTATGAACAGATGGGTATGGCAGGTTTGAAAGGAAATAGTGAGATATCCATTTGGGCACACAGAGTCTTTTGTTTTCCCATGTAGAAATTACAAAGAGGTCTTATGCTTTTTTTTCTTTGCTGAAACACCTAACTAACCACAGGCAAGTCTGAGTGACTGCTTAGTAGTGTGGCATCTGTTCTGTTCCCTGTGGACTTAAGAAGTTTACAAATATACAACTATTTAATTCTACAATTAAAGAGACTATTTTATATATTAATATATATGAAAACAAAATGAGTTACAAGTAGGTATCTACTAAATCAAGATATAAGAATTATTTATATTTTCATACACAATTGATAGCTTTGGGCCCCTTCAACTGAAGGCCACCTTATAAGGGTCAGAATTTGAGACTGAGCCTCACTACCTTTTTTGCAGTATCAGATCTTGTTTTGTTTGGAACATAAGATGCCATAAGATTGGCACATTTCCATATTGCACATATGTTGCCATATATGTACAAGATAAAACCACGTCCACATTCAGTTTGCTTTGTGGCTGAGGCCAAAATCAATATTTAGGTGGATATTAATTACAGGTAATTTTACTTAATAGGCTCTTCAGGTAAAACCAGCAAAGGTTTTATCTTACTCTTCCTTGAATTTTGCCTTTCATTGGAGTTGTAGCCCCATTCCAACCTACAAGCATGCAAACCCTCTGAATTTCTTAATTTCATTTTCTGGAACATGGTCCAATACAGTAAATAATGCAAATATTAATTATTCTCTCCTTCCACAGTCATGTCACAAAGGCAAAAGTGAAGTGTCTTCAGCTTTAAACATTGTGAGATCTAATTTGTAAAAGATTAAAAATAGAAAATTTGATCTAACTGTAAGAGGTAAGCCTATAATTATTCCTTTCACAGATAATGTATTTTGATCTTGGAAGAAGATATTTTTTCTCCTTGTCTACTTCATTATTTCTTAAATTAAGCAAAAAGGAGAAAAGATTTGCCCAGAGAAGCCCCATTCTCAATAAAGACTTTTCCATTTTTGATCTGAACATTTGAGGATACAGAGGTTTTAATATTATTTTAGTTGTATATTTGAAGCCCAAAATACATTTTTCTTTGCCTTTTCCTTTAATAAAATACGTTATAATGCCAAATACTATTCTCCTTACATAATTTTATTTATCCCAGGGAAAAAAAATTGAGACTTAGTAACTTGCACCTGTCTTTTCTAGTACCCTTTGAACATTTGCATAAATATTTTCACATTTAAAGGTTTTTACATTTATATGTAGTAACAATATGGATCCAGAATAATAAATTGAAGTATTTTTCTATTCTTTAAGCATTCTCTAGGAGCAACACCCCTAACTACCAATTCCTTATAACCTGCTGGAAAGGTCAGGGACCCTAACAAGGCAAGTGGAATCCAAAGAAGTCATTAAAGAGAGAACAGTTCCAGACCTATGCCTGGAATGGTCTCTCCTACAAGAAATTTTTTAACGGAGACAGTATTTTTTGCTTTAAATACTACCAAAAGTCAGCTCCTTCTCTGGAAAACAACTTCTGAAATACTTAGACTCTTACTGATGAAATACTCAAGTCAGCTTGAAAAATCTTAGGAAGCCAATACAATTTTAAATTATCTTTTAACAGGAAACCCCCCAGGAAAACAGTAAGTATTAGAGGATCTTTTAAAACTCTTGTGACAGGATCTTGTACAGAGTGAGGCAGTATAGTCTGTATAGTTTGAAATCTACAACTTCTGAAGGGTAGAAGCAAACCCTAGTTTATGGCTACAGGACTCCCTAGCATGCACCTTGCTGGCAGAAAAGACAAAAGAAAGAAATATCTTTAATTATTTTGTATTAAGCACATACCTGCATTTTTTTATCTTGTTCATTTTCACCTATAATTCCTGTGCTACTAACACTGTCATTTCCATCAATAGACACCTGAAAAACAAAGTTGAAATAGGAAAAATATTTACAGGTTACTTTTATTTAAATGAAAAACAGGGTTACAGACAGTTCCTGGGGGATTATTATTTCACAGCTCTCTAGCTCCCTCTTGGAACATAGTTATTCCCACAGTACATGAGCTTGCACAAAAATCACCACTTGCAGCATCTGCATTATACAACAGGCCAAGTGAGCATAGCAAAGTTGTTTTATAACAGGCTAGGAAAGACTGCAAGAACTAAGGATGTTAAATTAACAGACTGACAAAAGTATTACAATAAATCAATAAATTTAACAATACTGAGTTCTGACAAAAAAAAAAACCAAACCCAAACATTTACTTCTTTATTTATAATAAAGATATCTCTCCCACTCTTTCTTAAGCAGAATGTACTTGTTTCAAACAGCACAACTGCATTTTTAATCAAAACACCTAAGACCATGTGTTACATCTCAATTTGAACTAGTCAAATTACAACTAAGCATGGACCTGGGTATTGCTACATAGGTTTGTTTTTGAAGACAGTCTCCAGGAGGAGAAAGGTATTGCTGTTTCCAAGGAGCAAAAAATATTTGAAAGACTGTTAGATGTTAATGTGAAATTTTTATTTAAATACACATATAATTACCCAGTTTAAAAAAAAACACCCCACACTCACTCGCATGCAGCAACTCAAAGAACAGGATGTTACTCGTCATTATATAAAAAATTAAAGTATACTTTGCATAGTTTCTCATTCCTTAATGGTCTCTGTATTAAGCACAGGCATTCACAATACTCTCTGCCTCCATCATATTCAAGACTGAGACTTGATGCACCTAAGCCTAATCTAAGTGATTTTATTCTTCTCTAAAACAGCTTGGCAGGAATCCTCCCTCCCCACGGCTGCTCCTGCCCTTTCACCCTGAGAACATTGGTGGTTGTGTGAAGTATCTTGCCCAACGCACGAGCCCCGAGCAGTTTGCTTGGAGACTGGCATGAACTCATCCCACAAGAAGTTTTCACACTGTCTCTCTAAATTAGACAATTATGAGCAATACACTTTTGGGAACATTGAACTAAAACAGTAATGAGGGAAGTGCCCAAGCAGAGGCAAATTTACATTACAAAAAGATTGAAAAGAGTGTCAGAAAGCAGGTAATTTTGGGGTGTTTTTTTCAGAGAGAAACAATAGCTATTTTGGGACCTTCTCCTTCAGAATTTTTAAAGGGGGGAGAACCTGCACAGAAAGGAGACTTGAATTACTTCATCCTGAACTTCCTGTTGTTGGCAGAGAAAAGAACTGCTGACATGAAATTAGAACTTGATCAGCTATTGGAAACAAATGATCCAAGCAGAATGTGTGTGCATGTGTTGAGGCACGCACAAATCCCAGTTACTGTACTTTGCCAACAGCTGTGATGGCACAGGAAAGCAGCTTATGGAAGGAAAGCATGCATTGTAACCTCTTCACAATTCCATCACCTATTCTGACTTTACTGAGAGCAATGACCTTTTTTCCTCAGTTGCTTTGGGAGGATGCTGGCATTGACTCAGCCCTAAATTAGAGGGCTCTAGTTAAGTCTGCATGTGCTTTGCATGTTGTGGAAAATGGTTCTGTGCCTGAAGAAGTGAGGAACAATAAAAATGTACATGTTCCACCACTTCCAGTGAGCTTCTGGGTAGTCTGCTTGGATCTCTTTGTATATTCGACATTGATTTTGGGCTCTCCACTGATCTTTCTGTTTCTGCCTGTTGCTGAGGACAGGGAAACTAAGAACCACCACTCTCCAAATCCACCTTTTTTCTTTTCTTTGCCCTTTAAGTTTAGAAAAGAAAGTCTTAAAAGACCCAAACAAAAAAAGACACCCAACTTTAAACTTCTATTTTTCAGTATAGTAAGGATTCTGGAAGGATTCCATAGCAGATCTTTAAGTTCGTCCTAAAATACTCTCTTTTATGTTAAAGAAAGATTTAGTCTGCCTTCAAATAAAAACACAAGAACACCTACACTGAGTCAAACTAAAGGCCATACTACTGCACCATTTCATTTCCAACAGCAACCACTAAACAAACAGGCCAAGCACGTAGTGATGCATTCCCCATAATATTCTGCCAACCTCCAAGCAATTTGTGGTTTATGAACTTCCTGAATCAGAAGTCACGTGTTTCTACCTAATAGCCATGGACACATTTTTCTTCTATGAATTTATCTAATTACTCCTTGAATCCAAAGACATTAAATGTCCACAACACCCTACAAGCAGTGCTTAACTTCAAGCTGTTTGGAAAAGCATCGTCACTCTTCTTGAACCCATCCCATATGTGTTTCACCTGATGTTCCCCAGCTCTGAAACTGGTGCAGCCAATGAAAAGCCACTATTCTTCTTTGGGCTACTTAACATTTTATAAAATCCTATCATATACTTACCACATGTATTTACTTTCTTCCTGTACCTTTTTCAAAGTGTCTGTAACACCAGCTATGAAAAGTGTACCTTGCCTCACTATGAAGTGTACATGGACATGGAGAAGAATCACAAAACCACATTTCTTGTTTTAAGAGAGATTCAAGGTTCAGAGCATCGAGCTAATATTTGGTTTTGTACATAAACCAGATGTAGTGCTTGGAAACTCACTTCTACTGACTGTCCCCTAAAGGTTCCAGCAGTACCACTCAGAATAAGGTTCTGAGATGAAAGCTCTAAAAGAAAACCATTTTTTCCTGAACTAAAGCACAAGTGCACTACAAAAAACAAACTCACATTAGAGTTAAAAAATCCACGTTGAGTTAAATAGGAAGAAAATGCAAATTTATTTGCATTTCTTCTGCTTCTTCTTCACCTTCTCAAAACAGAAGCTTATCATAAATTATAACTAACAAAACTGCTAGTTAAGAAAGGCAAAGTTGTGATTGATTTAATCTAAATTAGATAGTACCTGTGGAATGTATAAAAGCTTGTGATTACAGCTCAACTAACACTGAATTACCTTTCAGTTCATGAAATGTTAAGCACAGCATCACTACACAATTTGACTGCCTGCCTTAGGATCTCTCAATTCTTACAGACAGAAGCATAATGAGAAGAATAGAGAATAAGCTATTTAATTATCCTAACTGGCCTCCCAAGTTTTGACAACTTTTGGTGACATTAAAAGGACAGACTTTAAAATATATTCTGCTCTTTTTCCACAGCAATACAAGCACTGATGACAATTATCCAGCAACTGGGACACTGCTTAACTACAGAATCATGGGAATTGCATCACCCATACTTACATCATGCTTTACAGAAGTCCAGTAAACTGAACAACATGAATTTTGTGCATCCTACTGCATTTTTACTATTGAAAATATGGATCAAAGAAGTTTTTTTCTGAACTCAGTAACTGTCTAATTGTCTTTTCTACACTTTATACCATGTGTTGCTCTTGCTCAGTACACCAGGCTATACTTTTCTCATTCAGGAAAAAAAATTAATCCAGCAATAGTGCCTGAACAGGAATAATTTAACTCTTCTTTCCAAACAGTGCCCTTTCAAAGATTCCTTTGCAATGCTATGGTATAGACAAGATTATAATTTGGCTGTCAAAATGGCCTTCTAAATCTGACTGCAGTTTAGTGTTCAATCTTTTCTCCTTTTTATGCAACACTACACCCCAGAGCTGCTCATGACAGTGAAGCATTGTCATGACAATTCGGTGTTCTCTCATCTAGGAGTCTGAGACTCTCTCCATTACAATTTTATTTCTTAACTGACAATTGGCTTGTGCTGCCAGATATATTGTGCTGCACATTAGGACGTGATGGACAGAGAAAATGCCTTGCAGAGTACCTTGGCTGCATACTGCTCCAAAGCACTGATGGTGTCTGGGTCGATGGCAGCATCTCCTGTGTGCAGTCCTGCCACTGTGCCATCAGCCTGGATGGCTAAAATGGTGTCTGACTGTGGCATCTGCACCGTGTGGTGGATGTAGGCAGTGGTTCCATCCTCCAGCTGCACAGCTTGCAGTGCACTCTGGTCATAACTGTCTGAGGAAGGATATTGCAAAGGGTTAGGATTCTGAAAGGAGCAGCAAGGTGTTACATGAACAACTACTGCTCTCCAGGAAGTGTCTCCTGAAGTCGTGCACACATATGAAATACAGGAGAAATACAAACACTTCAAATACTATGAATAACACAAGAATTTGTTTTCAAGAAAACACCTCACATAGTTTAATATTTATAACTACCAAAAACTACCAAAAATTTACATTGATCTAGTTTTATTTACAAAGGAAATCAGGAACACAAATATGCTTTCCATTTCAAATCCACTTATAATAAAATGAAAATAATATAAGAGATCTACTGATATCATTACTTCAGATTTTAGAATTCACAGATTTCACATTTTAAGGAGAACCATAAAAATATGCAAAAGAAACACAAAATATAAAACTACTTTTAACAAAAAAAATCTCTATCACACTCTTTCCTCTTACTATTGTTGATTGTAAAATATAATTGTCACACCAGTTTAAATAGACTTAAAATATATATTTGATTGCTTTTTCTAGAGAAGTGACACTATTTCCAAGATTAGTGTAATCATCTCCTGCAGAAACATAAGTTATCATCTGGAACAACTGTATTTGCATTCTTGACTGTCAGCTGTCACACTTTCTGCCCTACAACCTAAAGGTATATACTCACTTTCATGTGATCCTGGGCTAAATAAACAGTGAAATACACTGGGTTTGATTACATTTATAACTGTTACATGAAGCCCAAGTAAAGAATTGAAGCAGTTGCATTTCAACAATTTTCAGATGTCAAAGTTAAAGCAACAAGTAATTCACACTGGGAATCCCATTAAGATGATTGTTTTTAGAGAGTATCCTATTTTATACTGCTGAAGTTCTGCTGAACACTGATGAAATAAATCCCACTTGACAGAACAGTTACCTTTTGAGGTGTGATGAATAAATGCCGTAGTTCCATCTTCCAGCTGAACTGCTTGTCCATCTTCTAGACGCAGGCTCTCCCCTGCTCAGAAGGAATAATTACAGCACTTCAGCAAGAGTTGAAAGAATCCATTAGATGGAAAGATCAAACACTAAATACCTGGGATTACAAAATACCCAAGATCTCTTCATGACTATTTCCATTAAAATAAGAAATCAAGCTATTATCATGACTGTTAACTATTTAATATCAATATTTATCAGTAATACATCATTTTATAACATATTTATTGTATTATTGCACTCACTGCTTTTAGGCATAGGTACATGTTGAACATAAGCAGCAGAACCATCTTCTAATTGAATCACTTGGCCATCCATTAATTTACCATCTGAAATACACAGAATATTTTTAAGAATTCTAATTGTAACACATCACAGTTTTAATACACAGTTATATACACAGTTTAATACAAAGTTGATACTTTCTAGATTAACATATAAATAAAATATCAACAAGAAATAATGTTTGGTAAATAGAAAGCATAGTGTGACTGTAAAGACCTTTTAAAATTCTGGGATTAAAAATCCAGAAAAGGTCTGCTGTCCTATCTGTTAGGCAGAATGCTGATATCTGGGTTTGAACCATAAAGATCTCTTCACTTTTGTTTGACTTACATTCTGTATTTCATTTTTGCATCTTATTTGTAGCAAAACCAAACCATTTATTTTATGGTACTAGTGTAATTTCCCACTGGAACTGGAACTTCAGAAATGTTGTACAGATTTTGCCTGAGTTCACAAAGTAAAGAGAGGGTTAGAAAAGGGAATACCACTTTAGTAGCCACCAGTTTGCAGTCCTTTGCCTACCTTTAGAATTGTGCTGTATGTAAGCAGTGGAGCCATCAGCCAGGGTAACTGCTTGCAAACTTACACCTTCCATGTTCTCCAAGTTGTCACCATCTAGCAGGGAAAAAAGTTCACCTTCACTATAAGGAACTCTAGAAATGTCAGCTTAAAGACTTCCCTAAATTATTACATCTCCTCAAAGCATATTGGTTTGAAAAATAAGAAGAGCAAGTAGCTCTTACTTGCTTTCTTGTTTCTGAGCCTGGGAGACATACCAGGGTCATATATTCAAGATTTTGCTCTGGAAACATGACAGCTAAATGTTATTTTCCTTAACTAAAAAAAATAAAATGTCACAGAATAAATAACTACAAAGCTGAGACCTTAGGAGAACTATGATTCAAATCACCAGAGCCAATAGTGGAAATAATGACACACATACTTGTATTGATAATTGTGTTTTGTGCAACACTCCTTGTCATTAAAACACACAAAACTATTTAGATTAAAAATGCAGATTTAGAAGAGAGTTTGTAATCATAACAAAGTCATCAGGAAACACCAAGTTTAAGCCAATTTCAAGTCACTAATCTATTTTAAAACTCAAGTTGCTTAACACATACTTAGATATCAACTGAATTTACAAAGTATAAAACAGTAAGACTACAGGGAGAATAAAGTCAGATTTTATATTTCATATATTTTTGGCACATTTACACTTCTATTATCTTAATTAAAAGATAATCTTCATCCAGAATTAAAACAGTGACTTTAATCAAGCTCAGTTAACTGTTTTCTGTTGGACTTGTAACTCAGAATACATGACATGAATTTTAGTGTTGTATCTGGATTTCAAAGAGAAAAGACATAATAACGTAGATGTATTTCAACCTGAGGGTTCACCTTGCACAGCTACAGCTTCTGTTAGACACAGAGTCACGTGCTGAGCCTCCATTCCTCCTCCAGAAAATTCCGTCATTCCCTGAGAGTCTCGATTTATCTGAGCTAATAACATTGTCTACCTAGAAGGAAAGTATTCAAAAAACAGAAAATTGAAATACAGAACCAGAACTACGTAATCCCAGTTTAATATGATTTTTATACAGATGCTTTATGTTTAAAAAGCATATATATTTGCTTATATATGTATAAAATATGCAAATGTTTTATGTTATGTTTTTCATAAAACAGATACAAAAATTTATTGATTTATCTGGAAAATACTTTGAAGGAATAAAAGTTATCTGAAATAGGTAAGTATTACTACCTCAATTAACTTAGATGTTAAGCACTTCAGGTACCAGTTACGAATAGTAAGTATTCATAGTTATATTTATTAAGATACATTTAATTAATAAAATTAAATTATAAATATTAATATAAATCACATTTAAATTTCAGTTAAATATAAATGATTTAACCAATGTACAAAGAATAATGGTGGTAATGACAGTACAGGTAATGATACCTATTTGTCCCCAGAATTGAAAGAAAGCTGACAATTCACCCATGACAACAGCAGGGCTTTATCTGTATAAATCAAAGATCTCTCCAGTGCCAGTAAGAGGTTTAAAAACAATGATACATTGCAAAAGTCTAACTGAACAATTCAACTATTTCCCTAGATTTTCCAGAAGGGTTTCTGTTCAAACAAAAAGCCAACCAAACAAAACAATCTGTCCTTTAAAATAATGAAGTATCCCATAACAAAATTTGTTAATTAGACAATAGGACAGTGATCAGGGAGTGACTGCTGTATATCACAGAACCAGATAGAGCCACCCCATTGCACACTCACATTTTTACCCAGGCATGTTTTAATATGGGAGATCACATCACAGCTTTTAATCTTAGTGTGGTTCTATGACCTGCTGGTTTTTAATTCAAGGCTGAGAAAAATAATCTAGGCAGTTTACTTTATTTATGATTAACTCTATAAATACATTTAACTATTTTTACCTCTACATTCCAGAAATCCACTCTTGAATAAGCAGTTCATCAGCAGTGTCAAAGACCACTGAGAAAACTGTACTGCTTTCAAAACTAAGGAATAAGGAGTAAAAAATTAGACCATGTAGGTACTCCAGTGTGCCTACAGTATTTAAAAAGGTTGCCACACTAATTTAGTACCCAAGCAGTATTTTCCACATACATCTAAGCGTATGTGGTGATCCAGACTTTTTCCTAGAGCTGCAGGCAAAGTTTCTTATTTCCAGTTAATGGAACAGATACAGCTTAAAAGGAAGTGGAAAGCAAGGGTATCTTTGGGAAAGTTTTAAGCCTCCTGCTTTTTTCATATGTTACATTGAAAATCATACAAAACCCCCAAAATATTACTAATGATCTGTGCATAATTCTGTATGAAATATGCCTTCCAACATAAATGTCCTCATAATTTCTCTCTGGAACATTAAGGAAATTAAAACACTGGCTTGCAATAAGGAATTTGAACCTTGAACAACTGGCATCAAAAAGATACAATTAAGACAGAAACCAAAACGTAATTCAAAATGGGTGTGAGGGGATATTTTCAAGATCCAAGAGAAGATGGGTAATTCTTCCCAACATCCTTTTCAGGAAAAGAAGCTTTTACAGAAAATGAAGCCTCTAAAAGAGATGTAACACACAAGAAAAGGAGAAGCCATCCAGACTAAACTGCATTTATATAGATGTCTCTGAAGAAAAATAAATAGCAAAGTTTGTTTGTATACTATAAGAGACAAGGAATTGTATGAGGATATACGAGATCCTGAGTTCAACACCTCTTCCTCTGCCATGTTCATAACTGTGAGTTTGGAAAAGTAACTTCTTTTCCTACTACTCATTTTTCATCCCCCATCTCAAAATAGGCAGAAAACTTTTACTTAAAAAGCAGTTAGCTCACAAACCAAAAAACAATCGTGATGTAGCTACAGAGTCAGACAAAGCAGGCACAGAAGCAAAGCAGCCCAGCATGCATGTACTGTGCAGCAAATAAGATCAGAAAACTGCTGCAGTTAAAAAAACCAAACCTCCCCCCAAAAAAAACAACCCCAAAAAAACCCAAAAAGCAAACAAACAAACAAAAAACCAAAACAAACAAACAAAAAACCCCACCCCAAAACCCAAAGAAACTAGTAGCAAAATGAGTTTTATCCAGCCCAGTTTTCAAGGGCTGCTCTTCTGGAGGTACTGCCATCTTGTAGCAAGTGAAATTAATAAATTCTGGTATTATGTGCTAGTGGTACCCAGAGGCTGGCTGTCCTCTGACTGACAGAGCTCTGTATTGTCGGCATTTTCCATGCCCTCAGTTTTCAGGACACCTCTTGGAAGCAGGCTGCAAAACAGCTACACCATTTCACACAGCAGAGAAGAAGGGCTTCACAACCACAGGTGTCCACTTGAACTAGAGACTGAAACAATTCCAGCAGACTGCACCCCAAAGGCCTTTCAGCTCGGGTCTACTTGACAAGTATTCCCCCTCTTAGACAAAGTATCTTTTAAGATGCCGAACAACTTTAGTATCATCTGCCTTCCTCCAGAACTCGGGGCTCTTCTCTCACCTTTGGGTGGCAGCGAAGGAGCCGGTCCATGCAGACAGCTGCAGAGTTCACAGAGTCTGAGCAGAACTAAGTGCTCAAGGGGTGAGTAGCTACTTTGGAAGAAAAGAAAGCTAAAGCCAGATAAATTCAAGGGCTGCAGGAGCAACAGTATTTAAATTGTTTCACACGTCTGTTACTGTAGCAGGACTATCAACCCTCGCACACAAACCAGAATGAAAGGAACTACTGCACACACAACATCTACAACTTTCTGCCCCAGAGGATCTGGACAATCATACAATCTCACACAAGAACTCAGCAGCAATGCAGTCTATTTCTCCGAATTCTAGCTCCTTGCAATGGTCACTTCCAGCATATCTTTTTCTCAATCTTCTATCCTTCCACTAAGTTCCTTATCCCCAGCTCCATCCCTCCTCCTTGAAGCACCAATTTTCTTCTTCAATCCTATCACAACACCACATTTCCAGGATATACCTCTTCCCAGATACAATCCCATCCTTCTTGTAAGGATAATGTAAAATACTTCCACGCCCACGCCAACTCCTTCTGCAACTAGTTGCCAGGTCTTCTCTTGCTGTTGGTCTTTTCTATGACCCCCTCACACCACTGTCTATCCCCTTGCTGAACAGTTCATGTTCAGACCCATCTTGGAAGTACATCCCCCACAAGAGGCTGGAGCACTGGAGTCCTCCCAAACACCAGCCCTCAGCTTTCACTCCTCTGCAGGGACACAGCAGCTTTGCTCTGTCACTCTGCTGTGCAGGGAAGAGAACCCTCACCCAAAAGTGGATGTGCTGCTCCCTTCCAGACTCTCCTCTTTCTCCCCAGTGGAGAACACTGACTAGCCAGACAGGGCTGGAAAGATGTAGGAAAGATGGAAAATTGGTCTGTGTTGCAGAGAAAAGGGTCACTCTATCAGAAATAATGATGCTACAGCATAAGAGTAGTCAAATACAGGAATAAATTGCCAAGACAGGGTATGGACTCTTCATCCTTGCAGAGGTTCAGAGCAACTTGACACAGCCCTGGACAACCTGGACAAATGAGACTTGCCTTGCTCAAGCCTGAACCAGATAACTTCTGAAAGCCTTCCAACTTCACCTGCTCTCTGATAATCATTTCAATAATGTATACATTTACAGCAGCATCACCTTACTGTTTGTGTATCATCTACCCTTCTAACATTTTTTAATTTGCTTTGCTTTTTCAAAACCAGCTGGCTTTCATCAAACTCAAATCTCTTCCTTGCCTCCACTTCAGTCACTCTCTTCTGTTTTCTCCTCAGCTCCCACCAGATTTGTCTCCATCATTTTTTCAGTATGTATCTCACCAGCTTCTTTCCCTAATCCACACCATTGCTTTTACTCCTCTGCATTTGCAAAATAAGTTTTTTTCTTTAAATCTCCTGTCTGCCAGGAGTTCTGTCAGTAAAAACCTAGGAGAGAAGATTTCCTTTATCCACTTCAAATATTGCAGCTCATTAGTTAAAAGCAGCTGAAAGCATCCATTTTTAGGAAAAGCCAGGAACCCTGGGGTGGGGCCTACATAGCAGCTGGGCAAGATTGACACGTGGATTCTGCTTCATCTCAAGGGCTGTCTTACAGAAAAGACAGCTACAGGCTCAGTCACGAAGTACTCACTGAAGTGAAAACTCGAGACTTGACTTTGTGAACTCTTGCAAATCTTCAGAGATCATACGCAAGCTGCAACTGTCAATTTTCAAAGGCACATCAATGACGATATTTGGGCAGACTTTCACAAGGACAGTAACGTATCCTGCATTCCTGAAATGATTAGTCACCAAAACATGTCTATGGTATCCATGCAGAGAAAAATATCACCATTCTTTTAGATAGTTAAATCACTTCTCACAAAAAATCAGCCTGATGCAAAAAAAATTTGACAGAAAATCTCTGGGCTGAAAAGAATGTCTGAGCACAGGCAGACACTTCCCCTCTAACACTGCTACCTTCAGCAGCTGTCCAGTAGGGCACAGAGGTGCAAATCTTATTAAAAAAAAAACCAAAACAAACCACCACCCCTTGCAAATTACCTGAACAGAAAAAAATACTCTCAGGCACACTGAATTCTGAACACTTGGAAACCAAAAGCATGTGAAGGGGGAAAAGGATGGTTAAAAGCAAAAGATTTTTCACTAAGAATTCATCAAGTTGCCTATGTAGAGAGCACCTGCTGTACTTTTCCCTCCACTAACACTTAAGCAAATAGAATCTTCTGGGTGTTATCACTTGTTTCAGGGAAAAGATGCAATGTTAGAAGAAAGGTTTTTATGCAAACTCAATCTAGCAACTGGAAACAGGAATCTCCACTAAAAACTAGGAATCAAGCAACTGAAAAACACCAGGTGGGATTGAGGCGACTGAAAAGCAAGGGAAGAGCTGACAGAGGGCATGGCAAGGCTGCTCTGGAGCAGAAAGGGGGTTTAGGGCACTTGGGAACTCCAGCAGCAATTTGTCATTTAAAGAATAACTGTACCACTGTATTGCTGGAGGAAAAAAAAAAATCCTGCACTGACAGTAGCAGAAACTCCTTAGAGAGACAAAAATTATTCTTAGAGGATGATTAATAGGAAATGGAATAAAGTTTGTAATAGCAGTCATGGAAGAAAACTTACTGTTATAAAATACAAATTTAGAATGTGCAGAAAAAACTGGGAAAGAATGACAGGAAAAAAGCTACTCCAGATCTTCAGCAACCTTGTGATTGTTCACTCCCCTCATGCAGACAGCACTGAGAAGTTTGAAATAATATGCATTTATTTCTTTTGAAAGAAAACATCACTTTTATTTTTAATACACTTCTAAATAATGTACAAAACCACTGTAATTTCATAAAACTTATAAAAACAGCAAATAAAAAACAATCAAGAAGGGTAAGATGGCAAATAATACATAGCCTCACAATAGTGAAACTTGCATTTTGGAATTTTAGAAAACTGTAATCTCATGTTTGACAAAGCTGGATCCCAAAATCAATTCAAGTACATCCCCAGTGTAACATAATTAGAGTTTTGTCTGAATTAAATACTGCTTAACTTAGGGTCCTGAACAACTGATATGATTGCAATTATCAGTAATTTCACGAAACTAGTCTGAATAACAAATGTGTGAAAACTCAATACCTACAATTAACAACCTGATTAAATACACTTCAATTGATAATTCATATGTGTCACACCTTCTGAGTCTTAGTGCAAAAAGAAGTCTGACAGACTGGAAAACTGAGTATTCCACACAAAGTCTTTTCAGACAACCCAAGAGGACTTTTAGCATTTCTTCCCTCACTAATTACATAAAGTCATTTGTCATCTTTAAGCTCAGAAATAGACACAGGAGAACTAAGAGTCTTTTTACAATCTTACTTCTGCTCCCCTACGTAGTTGCATGATAATCTTTTCCAGTATTAAGCAGAAATCTGTAACAGGGTCAGAAATTAAATCTAGATCTTGTGGGTACTTTGATCAAACACTTCAGAAGATGTGGATTTCCTTCTTCATCAACAGCCCTTACCTTTTCCAGGACTTTACTGCACTGAAAAATTTGTGTTTGTGCTGTTGTCAGAGTGACTTTCAGTGAACAATTGTAACAACTACTTAATGTTGAGCACTTCTAAATTGCTACGTGCTTTCTCACAAAATCTCAATTTCTTTTACTGCATTTTCTCTAGTCTCTTTTAAAAGGCAAAACATAATTAAACAGCAACTTATACTACATTAATCATTCACAGTGTAAAATGGAAACAAGGCTGAAATACAGAACAAAAACTTCTTCCATAGACTGGTAACATCAGTTGGATTCAGATAATTAAATAGCAAATCACACAATCACTTTCTAATTTCCTATGAGATAAGGAAGTGTTGTGAATGATAAACTACATGCCCTCCTTGTCCTGGAGAAAAACCTGACAAAGCATGAGAGAGCACTGTCAACTGCACAAGCATGACATACACACTGTGAAGCAGTCAAACTCAAGGCTCCTTTTTATTATTTTTGCAGCATTTCAACCTTTCTGTTCCACAAGAGATACATCCTATTAATAATCCAGTTCAAGACTAATTCATCTCCACAGTGTTTGGTATTTCTTCAGAAATGAAAAATAAATGCAAGACCAAATTTATCACTGCCTTAACCACGTATCAGTCTGACTTCAGTGTGAGCAGTGGGAACCGCATTTAGCCTGAAAAAATTCATGTTCCAGCAGTCTTTTTCCCCCAAAAGGCATTTCTACAGAGCTCATATTGCAAATCCCATCTACAAATAGTGAATATTAAAGTATTGCCTGATATAAATGTTTGCATTTTATAGATATATTACAAAATTTGGATTAACCAGCGCAAATAAAGAATATTTACAAATCCTTACTCTAACTAATGTGATTATGTGTATGTACATATTTCACACTGTGGGAATGCAAAGGTTTCTATTCTTTTCAA